AGCAACAGAATACAAATAAACTCTATGGGACTAAAAATAACTACATCCATACGCTGTTGGGGCAATTATGAACAATAGGCTACACAAAAGCCACAAACCAACTGTCAGTTCTGAGGTTCTGAGAGCAAAAGCAGGGTACTGGGCATGATCTCTGCACACAGCACCACCAAGTGGGTGGGTGGACCACCTAAGCTAAGCCTCCTGCCCAACCCACCAATCCACCCCTACCCTGACCCCATTTAAGGGACCAGCTCACCACTGCCTTGGGGAGTGAGCATGGGTCCGTGACTCTTGCCTTTGCTCCCTTCTGCTGCAGCACAAGCCCCAATAAAGTCTTGCTTGAATTTCTGGTCTGGCCTCATCAATTTCTGAAGATTAAATAGTCCAAGCACGCAGGTCAATAACATTTAAAGAGCCCAAAGACTCGGATCAGTAACAATTTCAGATGACGTCCTATAAATGGTTTATATATATTTCAGCCTCACAACAACCCCATCAGATAGGTACAGTTTTTGCCTTCATTTTAGTTAAGGAAACAGTTTAAATAGTAGAACGAGTAAGTAGTAGAGCCAAGATTCAAATCCAAGCTCATGCCCCAGACGCCATTGTCCTAGCCATCATGCTATACTGTTCTCACAGTCTTATAGTGGCAATGGTGGTGAAATAAATTTATTAAAAATATATTATTTTAGCACCTACTGAGTGCGAGGCACTGTTTCAGGAATTTAGTTAGCAAGATCTTTCTGAATGGGAACTACATTCTAGTGAAAGGTAAATAATAAAATTAAGGAACAAGCAATATAAATAGTATATTAGAAGGTGATAAGTCCAACGGAAAAAAAGAAACACTAGAACGTGGTAAGAGAATATGATGGGAAGAGAGAGCTAGAGGGACAGGGATGGGCAAGTTGAGATATTAACAATGACTTGAAGCCATAGGGTAAAGGGAGGAAGATCATTCCAGGCAAAGGGAGCAGCTACAACTAAGGTCTCAATATGGGAACTGGGGAAGAACAGCCTGGAGGCCGGTGTGGCTGGAGCAGCGTGAGCCAGGGCTACAGAGCAAGGGAGGAGGGACTGCATGAAAATTTTGTAGGGCTTCGTTGGTTTTTATTCTGTAGAATGGGGAGCCACTGCAGGATTGGGAGAAGAGAAATGACATAATCTGATTTAGGTTTTACCAGATCAAACCTATTGTTTTTTGAGAACAGACTATAGGGGACCAGAAAAGACTGCTGGGAACAACTGCAATAACCATAAGGGGGAAAACTGATGGTGGCTTGGGCTGGATGGGAGCAGTAAAGCCAACAGGTTCTGCTGGTGGATGGATATGAAGGGCAAGAGAAAGTGGATTCTGGGAAACACCTACGGAAAGGGGAAGACTGTGGAAGGAGGGTGGGCGTTTGGAGGGGGGTTGTTTTGGACAACAGGTGGATGTTGAATATGTTGGTTATACGGGGATCTGTACAAATATACTGAGATCTGAGAAATAAATTTAAGAGTTGTAAGTAAAGAAGACTGTATCTTAAATACAATAATGAAGATAACGTTACAAAAAAGTAATTAAAGCTATAGATTTGTCATTTATCACACGTTTACCAACTGTCAGGCACCATGGTGGACACTATGGATCGGTTCATTAAATTCCAACAAAGGACGGGCGGGAGAGGTAGCGGGTATCTATTACTAGGGACCAGAAGAGTCAATGGTCTCTGTTCTCAGACAGGCTTTTTTAGGGAACTCTGGGATTAAAACAACACTAATAACACAGCTCTCTCTCCACCTCTAAGTGAGGCTGACATTGCAAGGCTCCACCCTTCGATCAACTGTCACTCTTCAAAGTGGGCCCCACCCAGCTGCCTCGCCCCACCTCGCCCCGCGCGTGCGCACAATGGCCCGTTCGCAGGGGGCGGGGCCTGAATGAGCTGAGCGCTCAAGCCTCGCCAGGAGTTGCGAGGCGAAGCAAGTGCCGCCTAGGCCGCGACAGTTGGCCTCCCGCTGGCCCGGCCCAGACCACGGTTACCGAGTAGAGAACACGAGCACCGCCGGGCTCACCTGCGAGCTCCCAAGCGGGCGCCCCAGCCTCTCAAGGACGGCCGAGCGACGGTTACCC